GGCTTTTTTCCCTTCGTTACCGGGGGTTGAACCCAGGGCGTTTACACTAAGCCGCATGCCAGCCCTTCCTATCTTCTTACTTTGAAACGAGGCTTCACTAGGAGCCCAAGCTGCTCCAACCTGGATCCTCCCGCCTCAGCCCCTGAGTGCTGCGCCGACAGCCTGTGCCCGGTGCCCCGCTCCATCTCGGCCCATGCGATGCCCTTTTTTTTGCTCTCAGAGCTTCAGAGAAGCTCGTGGCTCAAATGCCCAAAAGTGGGGAGCACGAGGCTTCACCCTCATCCATGGGGAGACTGGGAGGCACTGGGGCAGGTGCCTGCCTATCCGCTTCCTGGCCCGGCCCCTCCCGGAGGCAGAGGCGGCCCTGGCTGCGGGGGTGTGGTGCGTGGGTGGGGGTGCGGCTGCTGCACCTGCTCAGGGTGCATTGATCAGGCCTGGTGTGGAAGCCAAGGCCTTAGCTGCAGGGAGCAGATGGTGCCGGGGAGTATGAGGCGGGGCAGGGTGTCACTGCCCGGCTGCGGGAAGGGCCTTGCTGGCTGGGTTAGGGACGCTTTCATTCTCTCAGCTGCCCACGCAGTCCTCAGGCCCCGTGTGCCTGCAGCCCCAGGACCTTTGTACTTGCCATTCTTGCTGTCCTTTCCGTTGCCATCTCCTCGAGGCTGCCCCAGTGCTGGCTCCCTGTGCCAACTGGGCCACAGGCTCCTGAAGGCAGCACCTTGTCTGTCTGTCCTTCTGGGTGACCGTCACGTGTCCCACACTGGCAGTGCCTGGTGCCAGGCTGAGCCCCTGGAGTCTGGGGGAAGGCAGGATGCTGTCGTGTAGGCCAGACTGGCCCTGGTGGAGCCAGGCAGGTGCTGAGTCCGGCTTGGAATGTGGGCTCCGCCCCACCTGGGCTGAAGAGCTCTCAGGGCGTTGGAATCGAGTTCTGGCCATGGGCCAGGCATGCAAACCCCTCTGACCGTTGTGTACATGCCACACTCCCAGAAGGGGACTAGGAGTGACCCCTTCTGCCCTCTGCCATCTTTGGGCCCCAGTTTCCCCTCTTGATGGGGCTGTGCAGTACAGGGGGTGCAGTCCCCAGGCCTTGAGACTGTCTGCGAGCTGTTGCTGTGTTCAGCTGCACCCTGAGCTCTACCACGCCACACACAGGATGGCAGGAGGGGTACCCAGACCACAGGTGGGTCCCAGACCAGATAGGGAGGCCATGGGTCGCTGGGATGGATGATGGGAGGTGGCGGCTGTCTCTGGGCAGAGGTGGTGCCTGTGCAAAGGCCCTGGGGCAGGGGAACGGCTTGGCTGGTAGGGGCCATGCAGAGCCTACATGCTAGAATGCAGTGGGCAGGGGCATTAGGGGACCCCACAGGCCTTCTTGGTGAGGGAGCAGCCTGTGGAGAGCACCCCACGCCTCCATCCCCTCTGCAGCCTGGCCCAGCGCAGACAGAGCTCAGCAGCAGCTGGCCGCTCCCCTTAATCTCATTAGAAGGCCAGCCCATTGCTATGGCGACTGCCCACAGCCCTGGCCTGACCAAGGCCAGCTCTGTCTGCAGACAAGGCCTGGCGGGGCGGGTGGGGAGTCCCCTTGTTCTGTGCAGGGTTCCCCAGGAGACGGGGGCTGCGTACGTGTCTCCCCATGCTGGAGAAATGGCCACTCTGGTCACACTGGGCCTCCCGGGACTGCTCAGCCTCTGGTGCCCCTACGCTGAGCCCATCCTGTGAGTGTCATGGGGGTGCTCTGCGTAGGCCTGAGGCTGCCCTGTACACAGGCTTCCGTGGCAGCAGCGAAAGGACAGTTTGTGCAGGCCCCAGGATGCAAGCACAGGCTGTTTTGGAGGTGAGGTCGCTCCCAGAAAGAGGGGCTCCAGTTCCAAGTCCAGACAGGGACCCAGGCGCGTGGGCGGTCTGGTCCTTCCTCTGGGCCTGGTTTACCCATCTGCACCATGCAAACTGCTCTCCTCGAAGGACCCAGGTGGGTCTCTTGTGTTCCCTGACTTTGTGTCCATCCCTCACCTGCAAGGCCTGGCCGGGGGCTGTGTTTGCGCTCTCGCTAAGCCCGGGCAGCTGGGCTTTCTCTTTGTCCCGGGTGCTGCCAGGGTTCTCCTCAGATGCCCAAGTCCATGTGCACCCAGTCCCCCTGTGCAGTGGCCTGGTGTCCACGCAGGGCCGCGCTGCCACCTGGAGCCTTGGTCACTTCTTGCCGATGGCACCTGGCAAGTGTGAGTGTGTGCAGAGCTGCAGAGCTCTGAGCCGTGGCTGCAAAAGGCGAGGGAGAGAGACGAAGGCCATGTCGTGGCAGCGGAGAACAGAGTCAAGCGCCACAAGCCCGGAGACACCGGCGCCCCTAAGGCCCAGGAGGAAGCAGCCTGCAGCGCCTGGCGTTGTTTATGGTACCGTGGTGGCCACAGGATGCCTCCCGTCCCTCCCGACAGCCACCCCGGGCACAGGTGGCCAGAGATGGAGACGGGCTTCTCAGGGCACCGTGGCCGCATTGCCCTCCGTCGGCCCAGACGCAGGTGCCTGCGTGGGCCCTGTCCTCTCTTTCCAGCCCCTGTGACGCCTGAGGGGCTTGAGCTGCAGCGGCCTGGCATTCTAGGGGGACCCAAGGCCACAGCCCCTGGGCAGAGGCTGGGCAGGGCAGGGTGGGCCCAGGCCTCCTGCTGGCCATGTGGCCTTGCTGGCCTGCACCAGACGCAGCCACAAGCAGGCCGAGGCTCGACTCGAAAGGACAGCTCCGGAGCCGGGCTGTCTGCCGCTGTCGTCGTGACTGTGAGAGGCCGGCGTCCGCGCGGGGTGCCGCGGCCAGTGTCGTCTTGGAGCTGTTGCCATGACTTTGACAACCGAACCCAGAACCCAGGAGCTGAGCTTTCGGGGATGCGGGTGAGGGGCACACAGGAGCCCTCTCTGCGCCTTTGGCGTTTTCCTGTAAACCTACAACTGTCCAGAAGGCAGAGTTAAAACGTGGCGAAGCCAGGGGTGTAGGTCAGCGGCACAGAGCCTGCCTGGTACGCAGGGTCCTGAGTTCGATTCCCGGTACCAAAAGAAAAAAAAAAAGGAATATGGCAAAACCAGGGCCCGATGCAGGACTGATGGGGCTGCTCCCTGGTGGGCATCGCTGCCCACGGGCGGGGCTGTGGGCGAGAGCTGCGGGGCATGGGCGCTGCGGTTCTCCCCAGGCCCCTTCTCGCCTGCTGCCTGCTGAGCTGCTCGCACAGCTTCCTACCGGGGCTGTCACTGGCTCGTGCACAGACGTCCCAGGGGGCAGGGACAGTGCGCACTGCTCATCCGTCTGTCCGTCCTCCTGTCCACCCACCACCCAACTGTTGTCTGTCCACCCGTCCTGCGCCCCTCACCCACTGTGGTACGCGCTGCTGGCTGCAGCTGTGGCTTGGCCCCAGGGTTTGTGGGTTTTGCCCGCAAGGTCTCTGTGTGGGAGCAGGGTGACGGCCCCTGGTGGAGCGGGGAAGAACCTTGTACTGCTCCGGGTGCAGCGCTGTCCAGCTGCTCCTGTGGCCGGGGCGAGGGTCACAGGGTCAAAGCCAAGCTGGTCCCACCCCAGGCCTAGAGAGAGGAAGGACCTGCTGCTGCCGGCGGTGTCCCCAGACCCCCCTCTGGTCAGACAGCTGCCGGTGGGGACTGTTGATTCCAGTGATGCACCTGGGGCAGAGCCAGGAAAGGCCCGGCGGGACCCTCCGGGTGTCCCCTCCGGCCGAGCCATGCGGCTGCTGTTCGCTGTGACATCATGCGGAGTGTAGCCGACCAGGGCCGCTCCCTGTGCCCACACCTGGGCTGGTCTCCACTGGCCTATACTTCGTGGCCATGGCCTCCCCCAAGTTGCAGCTAGCACAGACCGTTTACTGTGGCCCAAGGACCAGGGACACAGTGACACTTCTTTCTGTAGTGACACTGGGCAGGCTCAGGGCTCTCCTGCACTTGGGCCTGGAAACTGGCGGTTTTGCTGTGAGAAGGGCGTGCAGCGTTCCCCGGGATCGCGCATGCCTGTTGTCCCTGCACTCAGGAGGCTGAAGCCGGCCTGAACTATGCAGCAAGACCCCGGCTCAAAAACAACCGGAGCATGTGCACTAGAAGCACTTCCCTTCCCGCCCCGCTTTGCCCTGGATTTGCCTCTGCCCCCGCCGCTAGAGAGGGGAAAACGAAGCACGAGGGGCTCCTGGCCACGTGGTCCACAAGAGGTGGCCACAGGGCAGGCTCCTGCACGAAGCTGGGATGCAAGGAGCATGTATGTGGACAGGCCTACAAGGGTCAGCAGGGACCGATGCGCAGGGAGGGGCAGTGCACCCCCACCTGGCCGAGTTTGGCAGGTCTGCTGGGAGGGAGGGTGTTCTCCCGGCCGCAGCCACCTGCTCAGGGCCGCCCGGCCTACAGTAAAAGCCGTCTGCCTGGGCTGTGAGGTGCTGCTCGAGCTCCTGACACCGGGGCTCTTCTGCCCCACAGCCATGGGCCAAGGAAACTGGGTTGGTGTGCGGGGCCGCATGTGGGGGAACGTAGTGCGGACCTAGTAACTATCCCTCGGCGATGCGGTGCTCCCTCATTCCCCGGGGCCACACGCAGCCCCTCAGGATCCCCACAGATCTGCAGGGGCCACTCCAGGGAGCAGGCGCGTGGGGAGCTGCAGGCCCAGCCTGAGCAGTGGTGTTGCCCAGCAGGAATGCCATGGGCCCAGCAGGCCCCAGGTTGCGTGAAGGGGACCTGGGGCTCGGGCAGGACCCCTGGAGTCCAGGCCACCTGGCCCTGTGTGGGCTGCACTGGGCATCCAGGTGCCATGTGCAGGGAACCAGCACTGCGCTTGTGGACACCACCCCTGGTCGCTGCTGCAGGAAAGGTGGCTTTTCCTGGGTCGTGTCCGCTAGAGCCGTCGGCTGAGATGAGACCCGGGCCTAGTGTCCTCTTGTGCAGTCCCCGGCCAGCCCACGTTCGGGGTGTCTCCCTGGGGTGTCTGCTGTGGCCCAGCCCCCTCACCGCAGCTGGCTGCCTCTCTTTTACAGCTGCAGCTTCAGAAGTCCCAGTACCTGCAGCTGGGCCCGAGCCGCGGCCAGTACTATGGCGGGTCCCTGCCCAACGTGAACCAGATTGGGAGCAGCACCGCAGACCTGCCCTTCCAGGTGAGCCGGCCCTGCAGCGGCCCCGCGACTCCGCCATCCCCGGCCCCACCCTAGGAAACAGCAGCCTAGGCTCTGTCTGGCCTCAGAATCCGCAAGCCCCTCAGTTCTCGGGAAGGCCCAGCCTCCTTACCCTGACATGATGGCAGGCAGAGCCCTCTGGACAGAGACCATGGTGTAGCCCTTCTCTACCGTGCGAGGGGGGCTGGGCCTCTCCCCGCCCTGGTCCCAGGGCTCTGCGTGGACCCGTCCCTGGTGGCCACATGGCTGGCCGCCCTGTAGGTGGACTTGGCCTGGCAACAGCGGAGGCCATGCGGGCCAGGGGACCAGGCCTCCCCGAAGAGCTTGGTGCCCCTCCTGCCCCTGAGTCGCACCGGCCCAGCACGGCTGTGGGGAGCGTGGGGTGCACCCCAGGGGTACAGACAGCGAGGCTCCACGTAGCCCTGGTTCCCCCCGAGCTCTCCATCCCCGCCTGGGCTCCCCTCCCTGCCTCCTGTCTCCCAGAGGGTCCTGTCCCCTCCAGAAGGGCTCACTCGGGTCCTTCTGCCTCGGCCCCGCTCCCAGGCTAAGGGGACGCAGGCCCTGCGGGCTTCTGCTGCCTGAGGTGCACAGCCCGGGGCCCACACCTCGGCCCGCCAGGCGTCTCAGAGTCTTGGTTCTTGCATTTTCAGCCCAGCGGATTTCTGGGGGAGGCCCTGGCAGCGGCTCCTGTCTCTCTGGTAATTGAGCCCCCAGGCTGAGGTCACGGCATCCCCGGTGCCAGTCCTCAAGACCCCAACACGTGTGTGGGCACTGGGTGTCCCCGAGTCCCCCCTTGGCTGCCCTGTGGCTCGCAGGGAAGCACCCCGCCCCCTGCCCCCCGCCTCAGGGAGCGCGTTGGTCGCATCGGGACCCCAGACTCCTGGGGTCTGGCTGAGCGATGCTGCACCCACATCTCCCAGTCTGGGGTGCTCCCGAGTGGGGTCCGAGCATGTGCCCTGCGCTGCATGGTCCCCTCTGAACACGCGTGCACACACGTGTGCACGGAGCCCAGAGCAGGCCGGCAGGCCGGGTGCGTCCTCCTCCCTCTGCCCTGGCTTCTGCCCCTTGGTGTCCCCCGTGGCCTCAGCGCTTCTCAGCCGGGTGGGTTCCCCGCCCTTGCTCAGTCAGCACCGCCTCCTGGGCTCGCAGCCTTCTGGGGGCGCAAGTGCAGGAAGACCCAGGGTGCTGGTCCTTCCTGGGTCCAGTTGGACCCTGGGGCAAGTGGGCCGCCTGGGATCCCAGCCGTGGAAGCCTCTGAGAGGGAGGCTCCTCTCACGTCAGCCTCGCCCTGTGCCCAGCTGCCTGCAGAATATGGGGCCCAGGGACCAGATGGCCAGGCAGGCGCCCCGCCACGCCCAGAGCTGGCGAAGACAGCCAGTCTCGCCCGGTCAGATGGCAGGGGGGCAGCGCAGGGCCAGGGCAGGCAGCGCGCAGGCTCCAGGCGGCTCAGGTGCCGGAAGGAAGTCCTGTCCAGCCAGGGCCTGCCTTGGCTCTGGTGGGTCCTGGATGAGCGTGGGGAAGGGCAGCCCAGGACGGTGTCTGGAGCCCAGAGTGCACGCCTGGCCTGGCAGGCCCTGCAGGCAGCTGGCTGTGCCGGAAGCCTGCCCCGTTTTGGCAGCCTCCCGGGGGACGGGTGTGGGGGAGGCCTGTGTGCACCTGGCGATAGGCTACTCAGCGGTTGCACCCTGGCACCCAGCCGGTGCTGGGCCCCGAGCTTGTGCTGCTCTGCCTGGCCGTGCATGCCAGCTGCACTGCTCGCCTGCGTCCCCAGCCTGGGACACCCTGCTGGCTCGTGCACCCCGCCCCAGTGCTCAGGGCTGGGGGCTGGGGCTGCAGGAGGAGGCCGTCTTGGCCGCAGCGTGGCATCTAGGGTGTTGGAGCAGGGTCCCCGAGATGCGACCCTGGGGACTAGGGCGGTGCCAGGCCGCAGTCAGTAACCTCTGCCTCGGTCTCTTTCTCTCCCTTTGTCCCTCCCTCTCTCTCTTTCTGTGTCTCTGTCCCTTCGTTGTCCTCAGACGCCTTTCCAGTCCTCGGGCCTGGACACCAGCCGGACCACCCGACACCACGGGCTGGTGGACAGAGTGTACCGTGAGCGCGGCCGCCTTGGGTCCCCGCACCGCCGGCCCCTGTCGGTGGACAAGCACGGACGGCAGATATCCTTTCCCAGGATGGGTCCTTGGGGAGGGCCCAGGCCCTGGCAGCAGCTGTGCCCTGAGTGTGCCTAGTAGGCTCTGGGGTAGCCGCCCACTGCCAGCTCCTGCCAGCTGCTGGGCTGGAATCAGGCTAACCTGGGGGGACTTCCTGGAGGAGGCCGTGCCCTCTGACAGCCCTCTGACAGCACAGGATTAAGGGGCAAGGCCAGGCTTTGAACCCCGTTGCTGCTGCACCTGGGCACGTGTGTGCGAGGGGCGGGCTCAGGGCACCCTGGACCGGCAGGAGAGCAGGCAGGAAGCCCTGCCTCAGCTCCCGCAGCACAGCCGGGGGCCTGTGGGCTTCCTGCCCCGGTCAGGAGCCAGGTGCAGGCAGGGCCTGAGCAGGTCTGAGGTGACAGCTGCGTCCCCTTAACTCCTCGCACGCCGACAGCTGCCCGTACGGCACTGTGTACCTCTCGCCGCCCGCAGACAGCAGCTGGAGGAGGTCAGTGTCAGGCGCCGCTGCGTCCTCCAGGGTGCACGTGCAGAGCCAGGTGCCATCACCTCAGCGCGGCACACGGCGCAACCCGCGGTGGCTAGAAATGGGCCCCCTGCCTTGCTGAGGTCACAGCCCGGGGAGTCTTCGAAGCCTCCTCGTTCGTGACTAATTTTTTCTGCTGTTTTTTACTCAACCAAAATTGGGTATTCTGTGTTGTCATTGTTACTTATTTTACTCTTTTAAATTGTATTTGTTTTTCTGTGAGATGGGTTCTTAAAGTCCTGGACTCAGGTGATTCCCCTGCCTCAGCCTCCTGAGTAGCTGGGACCAGAGACTGGCGTCATCATGCCCAGCTTCTCATTTCCAACATAGTGAATGCGTTATTGTGAGTGTTTTCTGTGTTGCTAAATAGTCACTGAAAAGTTATAAAACTACTCTATGTTTATGATGGAAAATTAGGAAAATGCACAACTGTACCTGTAAGAGGGAAAAGTAACAGTCATCACTGCTGTCATCAAGAAAGATCTAAAAGGTTGGGTGTGCTGGTGCACACCCGTGACCCCAGCACTCTGGAGGCTGAGGCAGGAGGATCCCAAGTTCCAGCCCAGCCTGGGCAGCTTGGTGACTCCTGGAGACCCTGTCTCAGAATGAAAGCGGGTTGGGGTGTAGCTCCGAGTACAGGCTGTGGGGTCACACCCCCACACTTGGGGAAGGAGGGGAGGAGCTGAGCATGGAGCCGCGCCCTGGCTCAGGACACAAGGACATGGGGGGCACAGGCCTGGGGCCCAGGACATGGGCCTGGTGGCCTTTTGTCCTTGCATCTGGTTCCTTCTGGTCACCTCAGGCCCCATCAGGTATCCACGGCCCCTCCTGTCCTTGAACTCGCGGCTGTGCCCCGCACGCAGACCGTCCTGGCCAGGGGAGCCGTTTGGGGCCGGACGGGGTCCCTCTGTCTTCGTTGTCCCCGGTGCCCATCGCGGGGCCTGGGTGGAGCGGCCTCCCAGCTCCTTCTGTGGCGGGGCTGGTGGGAGTGGCCGCCCGCCCGGGCTGCCCAGCTCTGCCTCCCCGAGCCCTGTGTGGGGCTCCTGTGGACCAGCAGCCTCCCTGGCTTCCAGTGCCAGGCCCGGCCTCCCCTCACCCTGCATCAGTGCCCGTGGAGGGCCGGGTGGCTGTGTGCCACGGGGTGGTGGTGGCTGCTCCCAGAGGCGTACGGTCGTGTGGTGTTCTCTGGGGCTGGAGGGCCCAGGTTTTGGCCCAGGCTAGGGTACTTGCAGAGGGACCCCAGCTGTGGGGACTCCTGCCCCTCCCCCCGGGCTCATGAGTCTGCCTCTCTCCCCAGGACCAACTCTGACTCCGCCCTGCACCAGAGCACAATGGCGCCCACCCAGCTGGAGTCCTTCACGGGAGGGTCGCAGGACACACACCACAAGAGAGGTGCGGCGGGGTACTCAGGGTCTCCAGTGGGGTCAGGCTGGGCCAGCAGATGGCCCCTGTTCCCCAAGAGGCCACCAGCCATGGGCTGACAGCCGTCAAAGGGTCGGCCTGTGACGTGGGACAGGAGGGGCTCAGGGGCGTTGTCAAAGGCGAGGCTACGTGAGCAGGGTTTGGAAGGGTGCATAGGAGTTCTCTGGGCAGAGAGTGCTCCTGTGAATGGACACCATCTCCTGGAATTCACAGGTTTGGGCCGTGGTCGTGGCAGCTGGGGGCATGCAGACGGCACTTGCAGCTACAGGCATCAAGCCTGTGCTGGAGGGGCCTTGTCTGGCCGGGCTGGGCCTTTAGCTTCAGGCACAGCTTGGCCAGGAGTCCACGTAAGGGGTGGAGGTCGAGGACCTGCCTGGCAGGGACAGGGCGTTTCCACCCCCACTGCACACGTGTCCCAGGGTGGTGGTGCCCGAGGGGCATCCCAGGGTGGCCCCGCCCAGGGTGCTAGAGTGACGGAGCAGGGGCGTGGTCTGAGTCTCCCCTGCTGGTACCCCCCAGCACAGGGCCCTGAAGCTGCACACAAGGATGTGGTGGTCCCCGACCTCCCAAGACCGGAAGGAAGCCCGGCCCAGACCCTTGGCAGCTGAGTCCCGGGGGACACGGCCCAGGCAGCAACAGGGTTGGGGTTCGCCCTGGGTGCCCCGATGCACCCCTCGGCAAGAGTGGGGAGCCAGGGAGGGTAGCACATGCCTGTCGTCCCCGCACTCTGGGACGCTGAGGCAGAAGGATCACAAGTTTGACCCCAGCCTGGACAAGTTGGTGAGGCCCTGTCTGAAAATGTTTAAAAAGTAAAAATGTAAATAAAGGTCTGAGGATGTGGCTGGGACCAGGTTCAGTGCCAGTGCTGGGGCAAAAGCAGAAAAATGTGGGTGAGTCGGGGGTGGCGCTCGCCTGGCAGGTTCAAGACCCCGGGAAACAGCTGGGACCGGCTTCTGCTGGGGCCCGACAGGTCCGCGGGTGTCACCTCCAGGCCTGGCCCCTTCCCAAGTGTGAGCAGTGCTGTCTGTCAAATGTAGCGTCACCGCTGGCTTCCAGGGCCAGGCTCCCAGCCCTGAGCATGGGGCCGAGCAGGAGCTGAGGGCGCGTGGGCCGGGCCGTGGCTGCCGCCCAGGGCCCAGGATTGTTGGCACGGGAGGCAGAAGAGATGCGGCCTTGAGCGCCGAGCCTGTGTTCTTGTTTTTTGCAAGACGCTGAGTCTGCTGATTTGTAAAGGGTTTTCAGTGGCGCCTTCCCATAGCCTCCCCGCGGCCTGGAGCTCCCGCCAGAACTTGGCCTCGCGCGGTCCTAGCGGGTCAGGATGTGTCCTGCGCGCTGTGTGGCTGCGGGGCTTCGTCCTGACAGTCCCTGTCCCCACCCCAGTCTTGCTGTTGACGGTCCCAGGGATGGACGAGGCCACATCGGAGGCAGACAAGACCTTGTCCAAGCCGGCCTGGGATGCCAAGAAGGTAAGGGCTGCCCGGTTCGCCTCATTCTTCCTGAGCCCAGCCTGGGCAGATGCCACAGCGCCACGCTGCCACCGCTCCCTTGTCCCCGAGGAGCGGCCTTGCTCAGATTTGCCCGTGCCCAGGTCAGAATGTCTTCAGATCGGTGCCGCAGTAGCACTAGACCTGTCCTCCTGGCAAGAGGCGCACCCAGCCCTGAACCTGTTGCTTGTCAGTCGCAGTTACAAGGACAGTGGCACAGGTCTTCATCCCAGCTAGGCGCCATGGCGCAAGCCTGTAATCCTAGCTGCTTGGGAGGCTGAAGCAGGAGGATCTTGAGTTTGAGCCCAGCTTGGGCAACTAAGCAAGACCCTGTCTCAAAATGAAAAATCAAAAAGGGCTGGGGCTATAGCTAAATGTAAAGGCCCTGAGTTCCATGCCCAGTCCTGCAAAACGAGTGAAGAAATAAAGGGACCCTGAAGAAACGAAGACGTGTGGTACCGCTGCCCCGTGGGCAGAGCAGCAGAGCTGCGTGGGTGTCACGTGGGCAGGGCGCTGTCCTAGCGCACCCTAACCCCCAACCAAAGCCGTGTCAGCCCTCCACACTGGACCGGAAGCCGCTTCAGACGCGCAGTAGCAGGAAGGCGGGCCCATGGGTCCGTGTACTGCATGCTTGGTGGTGCTCTGCCGCTGACGGGGTGCCGCCTCCCTCTCCAGCGGGGCAGGACCCCTCCCCGGCCCACGGGCCGAGCTACCTTGGGTATGTTTTCGTCATTCTGTTCCCAAATCCCGTTCTGTCTCCCAGGCGGTTGGCGGAGTGCTCGAGCTTCCAAGTCTTCGGAAAATCAGCGGCAGGGGCTTTGTAGAAATCCCGTAATGCAGCCAGTGTTTACTTGGGGTTTGGAGCGCCCCGCTCGGAGGCTTGGGGGTCCCCTCTCCTCACCTAATCCCCACAGAGCCCAGGCGCTGGGGTCTGGGTGTTGTCTGCCAGCCTGGCGGGCTCTGCCTGCCCGCGCCTCCAAGATCAGGAGCTCAGGATGTGGGGGCCGGAGGCTACCTGGGACCAGCCCGCCGGCAGCGGGCCCTGGGACTCCGCCCAGAAAGTGTGTCTTGCCCCCACGTCGATGCTGGTTCTGCTTCCCACTGCGGAAAGTCCAAACCTCTTGGACAGGGCGGGGCTTCCGGGCCGCCATCATGGAGGGCACAGCAGAGGGGTGCCCTGGGGCTCCAGGGGGCATGAGGGCCCCACATAAGCGCCACACATCCCCCTGTCACCGGGACCATGTTGGGGCACCTGCTTCAGGCCGCGTGGGGCGTCCCCACCTCTGTGCCCTCCCCACCTCTGGAGACTGGCGGCTGCTCGTGGGCTCCCTGTGGCAGGACCAGGGCTGGCGGCCGGGCTTTGGCTGTTCCAGCTCTGGGCCTGGCCTTGGGTCCCCGGGGACTGCTTGGTCTTCCCCCGTACCCGCCCTGACGACTCCGTGGCGCCTGGGTTGTGCCCATCCATCCAGGGCCACCGAGGGCAGAATGACCCTGGGGCAGTGCCCCCAAGCCCTGAGGATACTGCTGTCCATCCAAGGGACTCTCAGGTCCCTGGCAGGCTGGGTTCTGTTGGGAGGGCAGGTCGGGCTGGCCCTGCTGGGCGCTGCTCAGCCTCTGCTGTCTTTCCTTTCAGACGGGGTCCAGGCCCAAGTCCTGTGAGGTCCCTGGCATCAAGTAAGTCCCTGCAGCGCCCCTGGCCCCCCAGCCTGTACATCTGCTGCGTCCCCGCCCCTCTGATGACCAGGCCCTGGCCAGGACCCCCGCCCACCCCTCATGCCACCTGTGACCTGACGGTTGGCACTGACGTCCTTTCCTGGTCATAGCAGTCCCGGCCTCCTGCGCCTGCTCACCCCCTCCCCAGTTTTCTGGGCAGCCCCGTACCCCTGAGCTCACCCTGCCCGTCTGGCCTCTCCCCAGCATCTTCCCATCTACTGACCAGGAGAGCACGACGGCCCTGATCCCCGCCACCCACAACACGGGGGGCTCCCTGCCTGACCTGACCAACATCCACTTCCCATCCCCGCTGCCAACCCCGCTGGACCCCGAGGAGCCCCCGTTCCCCGCACTCAGCGGCTCCAGCAGCACCGGCAACCTGGCGGGCAACCTGACCCATCTGGGCCTCGGCGGCGCTGGCCAGGGTGAGGCCTCTGGGCCGCAGCATCTTGCCCTCAGTGGGCCTGGGTGGGCAGAAACGCACCTGGGGGCTTGTGGAGCGTGGGGCCTCCAGGTGGCTCCCAGGGGAAGCTGGGGAGCCCTGGAGGGTGCCAGGGCCAGGCAGGCTGCCCTGCTCACCTCCTCTCTTGTGGGGACAGGCCTAGCCGCTCACTGCCCCTTCGGGCACGCGGCCGGCCTGTGACGTGGCCTGGCGTCTCCTGAGCTTCAGACTCACCTCCCTCGCCTGGTCTGCAGGGTTGGCCCAGGGCCCTCGCCCTGTCCTCCTGGGGACTTCGCTTGTGGCTCCACTGAGGATGATGGCAGGGGTTCCCCTGACTCCTCCATCTCCCCCACGTGTGAGGCAGGACCTTCTAGCCCGCCCTCAGTCCCAACATAGCCCGGCTCACCTGTTCTCCCTCTGCCTGTGACTTCACATGGCCCCCTGCCCCCTCTCCATGAAAGCCCAAACCTGCTGACCACGTCCCCACCCTCAAGTGCCATAGCTGGACGCAGGGGCTCGGGGCCTTTGCCCGTGCTGCCCAGACCCGCGGTTCTGCTAGCATTCGGCTCTCCCTGCCTCTCACACCGCCACTTCCCCGTGTTCACCTGAGGCCGCCATTGCTCCTTCGCTCTCACCTGTCTCCTGGGCTGGGCCTGTTTCCCCGCTCATGCTGTGTACCTGCACCCCAGTGTGCTCCTTTGTGGGGTGTGGGTTTGCACCCTGGGAGTGGCAGACAGGATGCAGTGGCCCAGCTGGCCCCCGGGGACGGGCAAGGCCAGGGTTGGGGTGGCGCAGGCGCCCCTGTGTGCTCGTCCCGACTGGCCCCAGGACTGCCCGCCACCGCCGTGTCCCCGCCTGTGCTCAGGGCCCCAGCGGCGGGCTTTCGCGAGAGCACCAGCCCAGGCTCCTGCGGGGTCACCGGCCCCCTGGGGCAGGGCCCCGAGCTGCTGTGCGTGCTCTGCAGAGACACCAGGGCGGAGCAGACCGAGGCCCCGTCACCCTCAGGTGCCAGCAGGGCGGGCGGCGGGTGTGGGGTTGAAGCGGAGGTGCCCGGTGTGCGGAGCCGGAGGTGGAGCCAGTCTCCTGCGCGCCGGGCTCACGCTCAGCGCGGAGCCGCACCGGTGCCTGCCCTGGGCTGGCAGCTGAGGGGGTGAGGCCGGAACTGGGAAGGGGGCGGGGCTGGCCCCAGGGTACCAGCGGTGTCCTTTCACCCCAGCCACACGCCTGCCAAGGCTCTGCTGCCAGGCAGAGGGCGCGGAGGAGGCCTGAGAGCAGAGGTGCAGGTTCAGGGCAGCCCCAGGAGCAGCCCCCGCCTGGCCAGGCGGACCCCTCCGTCCGCACAGGGTGGGCCCAAGAAACCACGGTCAGCTGCCCCCTGGGCTGAGCAGAGGCGCCTCGGGCAGCTGTGTGGGAGCATCTCCAGGGTCCCCTCTGTGCAGACCTTCGGCCCGTGGGGTCTGAACAAGCGCGGGGACACACACCGCGTGGGGGCATGCAGCAGCGCGGCGAGGAGTCCAGCAGCAAGGCCTGCGCATGCGGCCCTGTGAACCTGCAATCCCCGGTAGCCGCCTTGCTTTTGGGTGCCTGTTAAGCTGGCTGAGCCATGGTCCCCCTCAGCGCCCCTCTGCCACCCCAGGAGGAGGAGGGCCCTGGAGACTTTGTCCCATTGCCTCCTTCGCATTCGCCCATGCACAGGAGCTGGGCAGGCCCGGTGTCCTGCCTGGCACAGCTCCGAGGCCAGCCGGCCCCACCAGCAGGCTTGCCTGCCATGGGGCGGGCCCCTGCCACCTGGCCTGCCTGCCCTCCCCTCCTGGCAGCTGTCCCTGCCCGCCCGCCCCAGACTTCCCTTCCAGCTGGCCGGGCTCCTGTTCCAAAGGTGACCCAGGCTGCCAAAAGCGCTCAGCAGTAGGGTGTCCCTTCCGCCCGGCTGGCCTCTCCCAGGGTGCTGTGGCTGCGCGCTTGCCTGTAAGCTCAGCACCGGCTCAGAGCACCCCTGACGGAGGGCGGATGTTGGAGGCTGGCAGACCGCGGGCCGGGCCTGCTGCTGGTGTATTCGTGTGGCGCGTGAGCGTGTCTGTGTGTACGCGCAGGCATGTGTGACACTTCAAGTTGACATTTAAAATTTGGGAAAATCCACATAGAACCCTAAAGAATCAGAAGGGAGCCAGGCATCATGGTGTACACCTGTGATCCCAGCCACTGGGGAAGCCGAGGCCGGAGGATCACCAAAAGTTCAAGGCCAGCCTGGGCTACGTAGTGAGATCGTATCTCAAAATAACCATAAAGAAAGAGAACTTTTTTTCAAGGGCTGGAGGTGTAGCGCAGTGTAGAGCATTTGCCTAGCATATGTGAGGCCCTGGGTTCCACCCCCGGCACCCATGGGGCGGGAGATAACATCGGCAGGCCCAGCAGCCTCGGGTCAGTGCCCCGCACCCAAGGATGGGCCACCGAGCTTGTCTGCCCCTGGGGCCCCCTCCACATGCTCTCAGCTTTTGCTTCTGCCCTGCAGAGGTCTGGCACCTGCCCCAGACCTGGCACTGGGCGTCCTGTGGCCACACAAAGCACCTGATGCCTGGAGACCATGGCCCAGGTCTTGACCCTGGGGTGTTGAGCAGAGCTTCTGTTGCTTCCTCCCTTGACGTGGGTTCTGAGGCCCGGGGCCCACCGACTGCAGCCCGTGGGGCTCTGCCCAGGAACACCAGTGTGGCTCGGGGTACCCCACGTAGCCCTGCCCCGGCTCCGGGGGAGGGAAGTGCAGGCGTGACTGGGCTCGCTGGGTGTGTTCCCACAGGCTGTAACCCCGCCGTGCCATCTGCCGGAACAGGGTTGGTCTGGTGCCCACGGCAAGATGGGCCCCGATCTCCTGGGTGAGTCAGACGGCTGCACCCAGCTTTGGCTGCGGACCAAGCCCTCTGTAGAGCCTGTTCGTGACCTCACAGGCCACCCGGTGAACCCCACGGGGCGGTGTCATCATCGGCAAAGCTGAGGCTCGGGGTTGGGTGGGGGTCACACTGGGCCTCGGGGCTCCCCCTGTCATCGCGGGGCCCTGCTGCCCGGCTGGCACGGCACCCCAGGGCCCCCCAGCAGGCCCCAACTGCTACCCTGAGCCTGATCTCACCAGCCTCCCTCACCACCCTGGATCCGGGCATCAGATTGCTCAGGGTGAGGGAAGGGGCAGCCAGGGCCCGGGCAGAGCCAGTGTGTGGAGGGGAGAGTGAAGGAGCGGGCACCCCAGGCGTGTGAGGCGGGCCTGGACGTGGGGCGTCAGGGCGCTGAGGGGGACAGGTGGGGACTCCATCCGGAAAAGGGTCAGGCTGGCCCCGAAGCTGCTGGAATCGCGTCGATGCCAGGACGGATTTGCCTGACGCTAAGGGCAATATAAGCCCAGTTAAGCAACAAAGGGGATGCATAACTTCCCGAAGCCAGAAGTGCCAGTGTGGCTGGGCGGGGGCTCCCCGGCCCACGCTGGCCTCTCGTGGGGTCCCCCACACTCTTGCAGTCAGCCCTTGCCGGAATTCCCTCCAAAGTGCTGAGGCAGGCTCTCGTTGGCCCAGCCTGGTCACGTGAAGGGGAGGGGCAGTTGCAAGTCCTGAAATGACAAATGCTGATTGGCTGGGCCAGTGGGCACGCTCCTCTGCGGGACCCTGGGGTCTGGGGGAGGAGCAGTGCACGCCAAGCCAGAGCTGTCGGGGCTGGGGCTTGGAAGGTTGCCTGGGACCAGTCTCGGGGCGGGCTATCCCTGCAGTGTCACCCCGAGCGTGACAGTGACCTTTCCTTAGCCTCCCTTCTTCCTCTCCAGGGATGAGCACACCAGGCTCCTCTCCGCAGCACCGGCCCGCCGGCGTCAGCCCCCTGGCCCTGGGCACAGAGGCGAGGCGGCAGCAGAGCCAGCAGGTGTCTCCCACCTTGTCCCCACTATCACCCATCACACAGGTGCGAGGGCAGGGGGTGGGAAGGTGGGGCACGGGTGCTGAGAACGTCCCTCCTGTCTGCTTCCCACCGTCAGCGTTTCAGTCTCCTACAGAATGCCCAACTCAGTGGCCTGGGGAGGCCAATTCCAGGCAGGCCCCGTGGCCTTAGCGGAGGCCCTGTCTGACGGGGTGTTTTTCATTAAGCCACTTTTGCTTTTGGTCTGGTAATTCAGAGTTCCCATAATAAAATGCCAGAGAGTTTGGTTTTTATTTATTTTCTATTTTTTGGCCTTTTGAGGCAGGAGGTTTGTGTAGTTCAGGCTGGCCTCAAACTTACAGCAGTCCCCCTGCTTCAGCCTCCTGAGTGCTAGACTGTGTTTTTTATTATTGTTTTTAACTTAGTTTGGGTGGTTTGTGTGCATTTGCCCCTGTGATGTCGGCGCCCAGCCCCCTGGCGCAGGGCAGCTTGCCGCAGGTCGTGCTGCCTTCTCCGTCCCCTCACGCTGCGGAGTGGAGCAGAAAGCTCCCGCTTCCAGGTCTGACTCCAGCGGTGTGAGGGCCCTCGTTTGGGCTGGGTCACCCCCGTCACAGACCGAGTTTGGAATTGGTTTCTTTCCTGCTGTTTGGAAAAGTGTAAACAGCATTTCAGTTGCTTTTTGAAATCCTGCATAAAATTTACCAGTGAAATCGCCCAATCTTTGTCGGGAGGTTTTTATGACCGATTTCATCTCACTTCTAAGGCTGTTGCTATTTTCTGTTTCTTTGCTGTTGAGTTTTTGTAGTTTAGGTGTCCTCCTCTCCCCCCTCTCCCTCTCTCCCCCTCCCTCCCTCCTCCCCTCCCCCTCCCT